CTCGGCTGCACTTTCCTCACTCTGTCATATCGTGAGGAAAGTACTGCCGAGAACCGGCAGTTGTCAGAGCGGGGATCGGCACCGATCATCAGGGCACTGATGATCAGTGCCCTGATGATCGGTGCCAGCAGTGCCACCCGCAAGTTCCGCCCACCTGTGCCCAGCAGTGCGCCCACTAGCTCCGCCCACCTGTGCCCAGCAGTGCCACCCACCTGTGCCCAGCAGTTCCACCCACCTGTGCCACTCTGCAGTGCCACCACCTGTGTCCAGAAGTGCCACCCACCTGTGCCCACCTGTGCCCACCCACCAGTGCTGCCCAGCAGTGCTGCCAGTCAGTGTCGCCAGTCAGTGCCCAGGGGTTGTGCCAGTCAGTGCCGCCAGTCAGTGCCCAGGGGTTGTGCTAGTCAGTGCTGCCAGTCAGTGCCCAGCAGTGATGCCAGTCAGTACCCATCATCAGTGTCACCTATCAGTGCCGCCTATCAGTGCTGCATATTAGTGCCGCCTATCCGTGCCACCTCAGTACCGCCTATCAGTGCCCTTTAGTGCTGCCTATCAGTGCCGCCTATCGGTGCCCATCAGTGCTGCCTCATCAACGCACATCAGTGAAGGAGAAAAATTACCTGTTTGAAAAATTTTATAATAGAAACAAAGAAACTTTTTTTCTTTTTTTTTCAAATTTTTATTTATAGCGCAAAAAGTAAAGCGCCCAGTGGCGATTAAATACCACCAAAAGAAAGCTCTATTTGTGAGAAAAAAAATGATCAAAATTTCATATGGGTACAATGTTGCATGACCGCGCAATTGTCAATCAAAGTGCGGCAGCGCTGAAAGCTGAAAATTGGCCTGGTAAAGAAGGGGGTATAAGTGCCTGGTAGGCAAGTGGTTAATTGCACACAAATGTGCGGCCGCTCGGCATCTAGTCCCAGATGCCGGGAGGCCACATATTTGTGTGCGGCCGTCGTGAAGAGGTTAGAGCACAGTTTGTTGCCTTAGCTCCGGTTCACATATATGCGAATTGGATGCGTGTTTGAACCGCAATCGATTCACATGGCATGTGAACCAAATAGTTTTTTTATGGAACTGGTTCACAAATGTGTGGGCTGGCCGCAGTACGTTTTTTAAAAAGAGTCGGGTACAATTTTCAGTCCAATTCAAGTGCAATTTCAAGTGTCATACACTTTAAAAATTCGCACCTGAACCACTGAACTAAACTGCACTGGGCTCTTTTGAAAAATCGCACTGAAACCGCCCCTGCACATACAGTGAAGGAAATAAGTATTTGATCGCTTGCTGATTTTGAATGTTTGCCCACTCACAAAGAAATGATCAGTCTAAAAATTGAATGTTCGGTGTATTGTAACACAGAGTCAATAGCAACAAAAAATTCAAAAGAAATGCATGTCTAACAAATTAAGCACTGATTTGCATGTTCATGAGGGAAATAAGTATTTGATCCCCTTCACAAAACATGACTTAGTACTTGGTGGCAAATCCCTTGTTGGCAATCAGAGGTCAGACGTTTCCTGTAGTTGGTCACCAGGTTTGCATACATCTCAGGAGGGATTTTGGCCCACTCCTCTTGGCAGATCCTCTCCAAGTCATTAAGGTTTGGTGGCTGATGTTTGGCAACTCGAACTTTCAGCTCCTCCACAGATTTTCAATCGGATTAAGGTCTGGAGACTGGCTAGGCCAATCCAGGACCTTAATGTGCTTCTTCTTGAGCCACTCCTTTGTTGCCTAGGCCTTTTGTTTTGGGTCATTGTCATGCTGGAACACCTATCCATGACCCATTTTCAATGCCCTGGCTGAGGGAAGAAGGTTCTCACCCAAGATTTGATGGTACATTACACCGTCTATCGTCCCTTTGACGTGGTGCAGTTGTTCTGTCCCCTTAGCAGAAAAACACCCCCAAAGCAGAATGTTTCCACCACCATGTTTGACAGGATGGTGTTCTTTGGGTCATAGGCAGCATTCCTCCTCCTCCAAACACGTTGAGTTGATGTCAAATAACTCGATTTTGGTCTCATCTGACCACAACACTTTCAACCAGTCCTCCTCTGCATCATTCAGATGTTCAGTGGCAAACTTCAGACGGGCCTGGACATGTGCTTTCTTGAGCAGAGGGACCTTGCGGGCACTGCAGGATTTCAGTCCTTGTCGGCATAGTGTGTTACCAATTGTTTTCTTGGTGACTGTGGTCCCAGCTGCCTGGAGATCATTGACAAGATCCTCACGTGTAGTTCTGGGATGATTCCTCACTGTTCTCATGATCATTGACACTCCACGAGGTGAGATCTTGCATGGTGCACCTGACCCAGGGAGACTGACGGTTGTTTTGTGTTTCTTCCATTTGCGAATGATTACACCAACTGTTGTCACCAAGCTGCTTGGCGATAGTTTGGTAGCCCAGTCCAGCCTTGTGTAGGTCTACAATCTTGTCCCTGACATCTTTGGATAGCTCTTTGGTCTTTGCCATGATGGAGAGTTTGGAATTTGATTGTTTGCTCCTGTGGACAGGTGTCTTTTATACAGGTAACAAAATGAGATTAGCAGCACTCCCTTTAAGAGACTGCTTCTAATCTCAGCTTGTTACCTGTATGAAAGACACCTGGTAGCCAGAAATCCTGCTGAATGATAGGGGATCAAATACTTATTTCCCTCATGAATATGCAAATCAGTGCATAATTTGATGCATTTCTTTTGAATTTTTTTTTGATGCTATTCTGTCTCTGTGTTACAATACACCTACCATTCCATTTTTAGACTGATCATTTCTTTGTGAGTGGGCAAACATTCAAAATCAGCAGGGGATCAAATACTTATTTCCTTCACTGTATGTTTTTTAGAAGACCTTTCATCCAGTTTTCAATATTTTTAGGTGGATGTGTGATCAAATGTGTAGTTGTTTGTTATGAATAGTAATATGTCATGATAGCTGATAGAGCTATATGTTCTTTCTACATCAGGTTAAAGGTCCAGGAGTAGGTCTGCTTGGCCATTCTAAAGGTGGAGATTTGGTGCTTTCTATGACTTCCTTCCTGAAAGGTATAACCGCTGCAGCTGTAGTAAATGGATCTGTGGCCAATATTGGAGCAGACCTTCACTACAAAGACATCACACTGCCTGCTATTGGCTTTAACCGACAAAAGATTAAATTCCCACAGCCAGGGGTGGGCGATATCAGGGACATTATGGACAATCCTCTGGAAGAACCGAATCGTCAGAGCCTTATTCCTGTTGGAAGAGCAGATTGCAAGTTTCTCTTTATCGTGGGAGAAGATGACAGGAACTGGAGAGCGACTTTCATGCCCAGACTGCCTGCAAAATTTTGGAAGAGCAAGGGAAAGAAAAACCAGAGGTTGTGTACTATGCCAAAGCTGGACATTACATTGAGCCGCCTTACTTCCCCCTGTGTAAAGCTTCCATGCATAAAGTTGTTGGTCTTCCATGCATTTGGGGCGGGGAATCAAAAGCACACAATTTTGCACAAGTAGATTCCTGGCAGAGAATTCAGGCTTTCTTCCGCAAGCACTTAAATCAGGAAATCCTCTCAAGCAACCTATAATGATGATAATATAGGAATGCTAACTTAAAACTATTGTTGAAAAAATTTAATTCTGACAGTCGTATGTGCCTAATTCATGTAACTACAGTATTCCACGTTACCTGCCTTTTTATTTTTGTGCCATTTTTATCTTTATCTACATTTACATTTTAATTTAAGTTGAACAACAAAGTAAATGTGATGGATTGGGACAAATTATAACATTACCAGAGGTGCAGCTGTTGCAACTACAGGCTTGATAATTTATAAAGGTCTCTTTCACATAAGCATATGAACCATGTGCCTGCTTGAGGTTGCAAACTAAATTTAGATGAGATTGCATTGCAACCTTATTCACCTCCTGGGGTGTGGTGGTAGGCAGCATCACCTGCTGAATGTGACATGCTCAATTTGTAAGGCTTCATGGCCACAGCAATGTGTATGGGTCTGCCAAACACGGGTCAGTCTGGTTTTGACAGGCAGCTGAAGTTAGTTAAAAATGCGCCTCTTTTTGCCTCTTGACAGTGAAATAGGCCAAAGCGTGTTGCTCCTCCACGTGACCCCTGATCTCATTACCCAGAGATGATCATATTTGGACAATGATGTCAGCCATCATCCCAACCCTCTTGTTTACTTTCAGCTGTTGGGTCAGGAATCTCTGCGTAGGCAACTGAATGGGGTTGGGGATGAATCCTCAGTTGCTGGGATGCTGGTGGTCGTTGGTGCCCTAGCTACCCACGAGCCTGGTGTGGGAAGTTGTCATATTAATGATATCTCTCCAGCACGTATTGTATGTCCAACTCTTGAGTACTGGCATCTCTCGCTTTATATATGAACTCAGAACTGCTTCTAATTTCCACCGGTTTGCTTATCTGTGAACAGGCGCTGATCCTTTTAGAATTTGTCACGGCCAAAGAAACCGATTCTAAAAGTAGAATTTACCAGGTTTTGGTGCTTGTGTTTCTAGTGGTACCAAAACTGGTGCAAAGCTTTTTTGAATTGGGTGCTGATCATGTTGAACTGGCCATACCACCAAAAATGTGTCGTTGCTTTATTGAATTCTCCCCCCTACAGTGTCTTATTAAAAAAAAGAAGTAAAAGATGACTGTTTATGGCACACCTGGCATTGTTCTAGTTTTCCCAACTCCTGGTACTATCCCTATAGCTGGTCAGCATAGGTTGTGTGTAAATGTGGAGAAAATTACAAAATATGTGAAATTTAACGAATAATTTTAAACTGTATTATGTTCAGCGGACTTGAACTTGACAGAGCAGAGATGCTTGGAATTGTCCTAGTGTATGTTCTTTGCAGCCTAACATTGTGTCTACAATGACAGGACAAAGCTCCTAGTCCACTCCATGGTCAACTCTCACCTTGACTTCTGCAACTCCCCTCTCATTGGATTAAATTAACATAGTCTATCACCTCTTCAGTCTATCATGAATGCTGCCGCCAGACTCATCCACCTTACCCACCATTCAGCATCTGCTACTCCTCTCTGCAAATCCCTCTGGCTTCCGCTCTCCCAACTAATTCAATTCAAAATACTAACCACAACTCAACCCCTAGCTACATCACTACCCTAGTACCAAAATACCAACCAAATCGTTCTCTTCGTTCCTTCCAACACCTCCTGCTTTCTAGCTCCCTTGTCATCTCCTCCCATGCTCGCCTCCAGGACTTCTCCTGTGTCTTTCCCATCCTAAGGAATTCCCTACCCAAATCTGTCCGACTGTCTCCTGCTTTGTGTACATTTAGAAGATCCCTGAAAACTCATCTCTTCAGACAAGCGTTCCTGCCCCACCTGATATCTGTACTTTATATTCTTCATCAGCTCATCCCCCACAGTTATTACCTTTTTTGTATCAATTAGCCCTCCCTTTTAGATTGTAAGCTGTAACGAGCAGGGCCCTCTGTTTCTTACTGTATTGTAATTGTACTGTCTGCCCTCATGTTGTACAGCGCTGCGCAAACTGTTGGCGCTATATAAATCCTGTATAATAATAACAGACAGAAGGTTTTAAATCTTGTCTGTATGCAGCAAAACTAAAGGTTATTACTTTTATATTTTAATGTCTACTTATATCATCTATCATGTCTGCTTGTTATGTTAATGTAGCTTCTGCACATATGTCAAAATATCTTCCTGCATTCAGGACTTTTAAAAGTAATTTGACCTTCATTTATGACAAAAGATGTTTCTAATTTTATATGATCAAGGATTGCTTTTGTTTGTTTATAACAATGTTATGCCAAAGTAAAGTTATATTTATAATACAGTTTTGGAAACAGAAGCATTTTTTCATTGATTTTTTTTTTTTTCCCAATGCTGAATGTCCAGTACAGGGAACTACTGCTTCTGGAGCTAAAAATAAATGGGCTGATGCTGTGTCAGCAAAGTCAGAGAAACAACAGCAGTACACTGATCTTCCCATGGTGGTACAGGGGGGAAGGGGCATGTCAGCACAAGTTTGACCCTTGGAGGACAGATGGGCTGTGCTCCCAACACAGCCAGAAAGCTGACTATACGGAGATGGATGTGCTGTCATGCCTAGTGTGGTCAATTTGCAATGTTACCTTTTGGCAGGCATTCCCCTTGCCAAAACACACCCACTGAAGTCAATAAGATAATGCCATAACTGTGCATGAAATGTTTGGCACACGGTTGCTGCACAGAACTTCATTGTAAAATCCCTGTTGGGATTGAAAAATAGGTATTTAGGAGGTAAACCTGAAAACAGCCACTCAGCTACCTCCTGAAAAGCAGTCCACTATGGATTGGATTTTAGAGGGGTGGTAAAGTCCTCCACCAATGTGAAAGAGGCCTAAAAACTTTGGCCATGTACGTGGAATGGGCTTAGTAGAGAAGACTGATACTGGTAAAAGCTATGGAAAGAAAAGGGGCAGCGCAGAATAAGAATGATTGTGTTTCTGAAGATTTGATTATAAATTTGTGAGGACTTGAAGCTCATGTCTGATATGCTGAAGTCTATAAAGTCACCTCCATCCCCATATATAAAAGAGTTATGTGGCTCCATGGGTGGCTTTGCCTGAGCCTGACTATCCGGGGCAGCTGCTGCTTTAACTGCCTGACTTTACATGTTGCCCAATCAAGAGGAAGAAGGGAAACAAAGTTTGAGGTTAGCCCAGGGGTGTCAAAATGGTGGCCCTTCAGCTGTTGCAAAACTACAAGTCCCGTCATGCCTCTGCCTATGGGAGTCATGCTTGTAACTGTCAGTGTTGCAATGCCCCATGGGACTTGTAGTTTGGCAACAGCTGGAGGGCTGCCAGTTTGACACTCGTGGGTTAGGCAGTTGACAGACCAGCAACTGTCAAACTTCAAGTGACCTCTGCCTCTGTGGCAACAGTTCTCCTAAATCTATCCTGACATTTAAAGAAGAACTAAACCCATCAATTTAATGGTTTAAAAAAAAAAGTAACTCCCGGCATGCCGACCATGCTGTCACATTTTCTTGTGCTCTCAACCAAACTGTCAAACCATCAAATAGCTGGTGTCATAACTGATCACATGTGCAGTATCATGGCAGTTGCAGATCAAAAAGAGGCAAAGATGGCAGCTCCCTTGGCTGAAAAGGATAGAAGGGTTTAGTTCTGCTTTAAAACCAAACTGAACTTTCATTTTAAATCAGCCAAATACATTCCAGGTGCATTAATAGCAAAGGTGTGCAAAGTTTTCCAGTTTTTTCATATTACATTTTTTTTTATATAAACGAAAAAAGGCTGAAAAGTTTGAAAAAAAATGTTCTACTTTGTTATAAAGCATGTCCAATCAAAAAATCTAATTTCTTCAATGTGGGCCAAAATGTTTTCTGCTACATGTCTTTGGTTTAAAAAAAAAATAAAAATAAAAATCCCCATAGGTGTATATTAATTGGTTTATGTGAAAGTTTTATAGTGTCCACAGACTGTGTGTGAGATTGAGAGATAGATAGATATCTATATATATATATCTTGTTTCTTTAGGCCCTAAAATGCTGGGATAGTACAAGTACCCCATATAACCCCTTTTTTGAAAAGTAGACAGGTATTTAGTTAGTGAGGTTTTTTTGCGAAGTTGTAATTTTTATGTCACAATTTTTTGGAAAATGAAGACATTAACATTTTTTTTTTTTCTTTTTAACATGCTGTCAACAGCGCAGTACAGCATCATCATATGACTAGTGTGGGGGTGATCTAGTTTGCTAAAATGGTGACAGTATGTTGAAAAAAAACTAAAATAAAATGTTTCAATCATTTTTTTTATTCAATTGGTGAAACATTTTTATCTTTTTTTTCTGTTGCCAATACTGTGACGATTACTGTATAAGCAATAGTTTTAGCTGTTCTGAATGGGTTAACCATTCATGAACAACTTACTTTTGGTTGTGAATTGTGATTGGCAACAGCTAATCACATGGTACAGATAGCCAGGTACCATGTGATTGCTGTGGGACAATCGCATATCACAACAGTAAGCAAGCTGTTCATGAATGGAAAACCATTCATGACAGAGTGTTTACATTGGTCATAGTGATCACATGATACCCGATTACCGGTAACTGTAGTCCTCTGTGTCTGGTGGACACAGCAGTCACAAGAGGGCACGCTGCGGAGCAGGCAAAATGATGTACATGTACGCAAGTGTGCCTGTATGTGCCTCCCTGCCACAGTATATTTATTGTGGTGGGTTGGCAAGTGGTTAGAGTAGAAAAGCCTGTCCCCTGCCAGCAGTTGTAGACTGGGACACTTGCCCTTTATACAGAAGTAGTAAATGCTCTTATGAGGTCTGACACTTCCCCCAGAACAGTAGCTCTGCAATCAGAAAGCTTGTGCTCTGCTCTGATTGACAAGCTCTAGCACTGTCTCAGCAGGGAGCATGTTAGACCTCTGCAAAGAGACCATGCTGACAGCTGGTTTATAACAGTCATCTGGCAATGATGAATGATGAT